CACAATGGGATGAGAAGGCAACCTCCCATGGAGTAGGTGGTGGCTGCCAAGGTGGGAGTGGCTGGATGTTGAGCCCATAGGCAGCAGGAAGTCATCGTCTTAGGATCAGCCAGAGGTTGGGCCCACCCTCCCCCACCTTTGTGCACCCTCAGTTCTGCCATGAGGGCAAGCACTTGGACAGAGGAATTTACCATGCCCTCTGCTGGAAGCAGTGGGAGAGAAATGGGGTGCCCATATGCACCTGAGACTTGCTTTGGAACTTCCTCCCCAGCAGCAGAGTCCAGTTCCCTCCTTCTCAAGGCAGGTTAGGATAAACAAGAGCATCTCTAAGCAGAACAATGGAGGAGCTCACACATATCCATACAAACATAACGAAGAATCAATCATCAAAGAGGAAAACCAACACCACAAAAAGGAAGTACCAAAACACCAAACTGCAGCACGGGAGTTCAGGGAAATGAACTGACTAGAGGAAATGTAAGGAGATATTAAAGATAATTAACACTCTTGAGGGATAAAAGAGCCTAATGCATCCATGACAAAGGAATAGACTATTAAGAAAGAAGGACCAATGACAAATCTTAAGAGACGAACAATATACTGTGAAATTAAAAGAAACACAGCAAGGCATAGACAGATTAACAGAATTGACACTGTTAAAAATCAATTTACTGAGCCTAAGGATCAAGCTGAAACATTCACCCAAAGGTACCAAACCCAAAGTGTTTTACAAGCATTCTATCAAATGTTCATATAATCCCCATGTGGTACGAACTCTTCTTAGAACAAGATGAGGAGTGTCCCAATTCATTTTCCAAGAGTAGAATAACCTACACACACATATACACACACACACAAAGTATACACACATAGAGAGCACATCAAAAAATGAGAGAAAAAATCTATAGCACAAATTCCTTTATGAACCAAAGGGTTAAAATCAAAGTAGTAGCCAGCTGAAACCAGCGGTATATTAAACACAAAATACATCACAACCCAATAGGGATCTCCCACCTCCAACCTAGTATTGAGAACATCCCAGGAATGACTGAATGAGTTGACTCAACAAAAACTAGATCTACTATACTAATCCAATTCAGAATGCTAGCAGATTAAAGAAAGTATTATCATCTCAGTAAATGCAGAAAATGCAACTGAAAAATTAAACATTCATTCTTAATAAAAATAATTTGCAAGCTAGGAATAGGAATAAAAGTTCTTAACTCATTAAAAAGTATCAACCAGGGGCACCTGGGTGGCTCAGATGGTTAAGCATCTGCCTTCGGCTCAGGTCATGATCCCAGGGTCCTGGGATAGAGCCCCGCATCAGGCTCCCTGCTTGGCGGGGAGCCTGCTTCTCCCTCACCCTCTGCTGTTCCCCCAGCTTGTGCTCTCTTGCTCTGTCAAATAAATAAATAAAATCTTAAAAAAAAAAAAAGTGTCAACCGGAGTGCCTGGGTGGCTCAGTCGGTTAAGCCTCTGCCTCCAGCTCAGGTCATGATCCCAGAGTCTTGGGATGGAGCCCTGCACTGGGCTCTCTGCTTGGCAGGGAGCCTGCTTCTCCCTCTCCCCTGTTTGGGCTTTCTCTCAAACAAATAAATAAAATCTTAATAAAATAAAAGTTATCAACCAGAAACAGCACAAATATGCTTGACATATGGGAAGTATTCTTCATTCGAGTAGGAACAAGACACAGTTGGCCACACTATTCACCATTCCTGGCTAACATTGGGCTAGAGGAACTACGTTAAGTAAGAAAAAAATAAGAGGTCATAGTACTGAAAAGCAAGAGACAATCCTGACAATATTTGTAGATGATATTTAGAATACCTAGAATATATAAGAGAATCAACTGTAGTAAAATAGTTTAGCAAGACTGCTAGATAACACATCAATATGTAAAATCAACAGTATTCTTATGAACTAGAAAATGTCTTTTTAATGTCCTTTACTATAGCAACCAAAACCGTAGGATAATTAAGCATAAATATAAGATGTGCATGACCTTATTATAAGTGAAAGATATAGTGGAAATATGTCTTCATAATAAATATGTACTAAAAATGGAGTAATATGTCTCATTCATAGATGAGAAACTCAAGATCATAAGCAATTCTCCCCAAATAATCTGTATAAATCATCACAATTTTGAAAGTAAAAATCTAAATGTGACAACCTGATCCCCAAATTTACATGGAACCAGGAACTAAGGCACTTTTAGAAGATGAGGGGAATCATTCTACCATATGAGAAACAATTATAAAGCTACAATGAATAAAACAATGAGTTATTGCCAAAGTTAGCTAAGTGGACCAATTTAACAATACAGAGCCCAGAAATATTCCCATAATTATATGAAAGTCTGATATAATCATAGATATAGCTTCACATATCAGAGGGAAAGGACGGGCTATTTTTTTAGAGGTGTTAGGAAAAATAACTATCCATATGGAATTTACAAGAAAATTTATGAGAATGTAATCATGACCTCAGATTAGGAAAGGGACTCTTAAATAAGGAAACAAAACATGGAAAAGACTGAATTTGACTATACTTAAATTTAAAACTTCTCTATGTTAAATGACATCATATGCAAAGTAGGTACATGGATATTCTAATTCTCCACATTTTTATGTAAGAAAGAACCCCAACCAAAACTAAAGAACTATAAAATACCTAGGAATAAGCCTAGTATGAAATGTGGCAAGACCTTTATGAAGAACATTATTAAAATTTTATCCAAGAATATAAAATACTTTAAAATGAGACCTATCATGATCTTAATGGGAAAAATTGTATTAATTTGAAAAAGTCTATTATCCTCAAATCAATGAATAAACTAATGCAATCCCAATCAAAAGAGCAACACAATCTTAGTGACATAATAAACTGATTCTAAGATTTACCCAGAACAGGAAATACACAAGACAATGGGGGCAGAGGCCGGAAGGACTAGGAACTTGCCTGTAGATAGAGAAACATAGTTCAAAGTCAACAGTGAAGAGTGTGGTTGGTAGAATAGATATCTGGATCCACTGTCCAGGAGGAGACAACTTAGCATATGATAACCTTAGCATTTCAGATGGGTAGAGAGAAGAATGAACAGAGAAAAGAATGAAGAAGGAAAAGCTTCAGTAATAATTGGGGGTAATCGCCTTTTCATTTTTGTTTGGGGGGAGAGACCCTAAAGGATTTATAACCCAATTTTAAAACTAGACAAGTGTAATGTGAGCAGGCAACACTCAAGAAGATCTACAAATAGCCAAAAACATGAAGGTGTTTGGTTGTGTAAGTAATCAGGGTAACTGAAGTTCAAACAAGGTCTTTTCAACCATAAGATTGGTTAAAAACAAAACACAAAAGAACCTCCCGAGACTGATTGCTGGTAAGGTTGTGGAGAATGGGTCCTCTTATGGAGTGTAAATGGAAGGAAGCAGTTTCACTACATCCATTAAAATTAAAAATCTGTCATTTTTTTCAATTATGTAGAATTTAAGAAAACAGATGAACATAGGGAAGGGAAGGAAAAAGACGAAAACAGAGAGGTAGGCAAATCATAAAAGACTCTTAACTCTAGGGAACAAACTGAGGGTTGCTGGAGTGGAGGGGCATGGGGGGATGAGGTAACTGGGTGATGGGCATTAAGGAGGGCACTTGAAGTAATGGGCAAAGCTGGGCATTGTATGCAACTGATGAATCACTGAATTCTACCTCTGAAACTAATAATACAGTGTATGCTAATTAAATTGAATTTAAATTTAAAAATTTCTAAAAATTTTAAAAATCTATGTCATTTTTAATCCAGCAGTTCCATGAAGGTAGAGCTATAATTTCAGGGATGGAAATATGTCTTGCATATAACATTAAATGAAAAGCTAGCTGCAAAACAGTAAGGAATATATAATCCCGTCCACGGGATTTATGTATTAAATCACACCTATAAAACAAAGCTACTTCTGTGATAAAGAGACTCCAAAAGACAGTGGTTTTAAGCAAGTCAGGAATTTATTTTGCTCTTAAGTAACAGGTAGAAGGAAAGCAGTTCAAGGCTGCAGGCCAGCTTCTCCAGCCTCAACACACAACCTCTGTCGCTCCCGTATCACTGCTTAAGGTCCCCCCAGAATCTCAGCCAGCAAGAGGAGTATACACCCAATCCCTTATTTAAGGGCCCAATCTGGAAGTTCCACTCATATCCCACTGCCCAGTCACAGGGCCACAATTAACTATCAGGGAGGCAGGGAAGCTGAGTCTTCACCCGCCAGGCGTCCAGGTAAAACTCCAGAAAATCATCAGTAAAGGAAGAAGGGGGAAATGCTATAACAGCAGCAATCTCTGCCACCATGTATTTGCAAATGCATGGAAAAACAGCTGGGAAGAATAAATACACACTAACTATAGTCCTTATCGCTGGAATAGGAACAACAGTGAGGAGACAATAATTGCCTGAAATTTTTTAAACGGTGATAGTATATTCACGTATGAACTAGGAAGTTTTAAAATTTCACAAAATTTTAAAATCCTTTATTGTAGCTTGATACCAATATAACACGTTAAATACATTAAATCTGTCTACATTGTACAAAGCTTTTAAAGTTCCAAAAAGTAGATTCTATCTAAACGAATAAGTTACTCTCTATTGTTAAAAATATTACACTTAGAGTATCTTCCTCGAAACCTCTCTACCTGGGAGGCATGACAACGCTTACAGATGCCCACACTGAGAAACAGGCAGGACAGCGACCTGCCCAAGGTCCTAGCATGCCAGTGGCAGAGCTGAGACAAGAACAAGAGTGAGGACCACCCTGCTTGTACTGCATCGTAACTTTTGATGGCATTTTCTATTTGATGAGAAGGCTACAACTTCTCTCACTCTTGAGGCGCCTGGGTGGCTCAGTCAGTTAAGTCTGCCTTCGGCTCAGGTCATGATCTCTGGATCCTGGGATCGAGCCCCGCATGGGGCTCCCTGCTCAGTGGGGAGTCTGCCTCTTCCTCCCCCCTGCTCGTGCTCTCACTCTCTCTCTCAAATAAATAAATCTTTAAAAAAAAAAAAAAAAACTTCTCTCAGTAGAGTTCAGATTTCAGAAAGATAATGAACTGCATTCAATCTGAGAATAAGAGGGAAGCAATTTTCTTACAGGCTAATGAATACAAAAATAAAAATAAAAAAAGAACTTCCCAGAAACAAAACTGTCATGAGTTTTGACTCCCTTCTGAGCCAAATTCTCAAGTTTAGGATTTATTGAGCTGTTTAAAAATCCCTTCTATGACTTCTAGATAATGATAGCAGACTGAAGAAAATAATAGAATCTTTTTCCTCCAATACATAAATCACTCTAAAAACAGAATAAAATGAGTAGGCCAGAATTCAAAAAAAAAAAAGGCAGCAGAAAATCCTGGTGGGAATCATGACTCTATGACATCTCCTGCCTAGGGGGAGGGATTCTTTGGCCCGAGCTATTTAACAAAATCTCCGAACAGAGGGGTAAAATGCAAATCCTCCAACCAGAGCTGCATGGTGCCCAGCAGAGGCTCTTCCCAACCCCCAAACCCAAATCCCTTCTCTCTGGGTCACAGGGAAGAGCATACAGATATGGACAGAGCTGCTCACTTGCAACATAAGCAAGATGTAAAGAAATGGCATGGAGGAAGGCAAGCATGATAGAGAAAAAGCAGAGAGGAAAAACAGCATGCCACAGAGAACAAACCCAAGAAACAAACTGCATTGTGACAGCTCTAGAAGAAATTTAAGCAGTGTAATGAATTTAAGAAAACCAGACTTCAGTGCTGAGATGATAAAACAACAAAGAGAAGGAAACAAGAATATCAAAGCTAGGAAAACAAACTGAGGATCAAAACGACACCATCACAGAACTATAAACACATAAGCAACAGCCAGAAAACAGCTGAAAACCAAATGTCTAGTACAGGAGAGTCACGGAATGCAAAGGACAAAGAGAGGTGAAAACAACTGGAAAGAAGATGATACATAAGGAGAACAATGGTGCCCATTACAAAGTAATCAGCATCCTTAGAAAAGCAAACAATAAATAAAATTAAAAATGCTCCAAGTCGCCTCCCAGCGCACAAGCAGAGAGAGTGGGCCACAGTGGTGGTCACTACATGGCAATCATGGCATATCAGCTGTGGTCTGGAGTGATGTTTCTGTGCATGTGTGTGTTCTATTTGTACCCACTTTTGGTTCTGCTTAAGGTTTGTGTTAAGATAATATATTTTATTTTCCTAAAACCAAGAGTCCCCATAGGGGGTAAAAAGATGCCCTTTGCTTAAAGCTAAGCCAATATAAGCTGAGTACACTACAACCTTCTGCAAGTACAGGTCTCATCATTTATTACCACGCTATTTCATGCTTTACTAATGAAAAATACCTGCCAATTTACAGTACCTTAAAAGGAAGACTATTTAAAGGCAATTAGTATATTCAAAAGACAGTAAGTCTCATTTTTTATGTGTGGCAAATGATAAATTTAAACGTTTAAAAGCTACGCACCAAAAATAAGTATCTGTTATCAAATATTGGTGAACTAATTTATTGAACAGGTCTGACTGAATATAAGACATGTTTTTAGCACCAGTAAAAATAATTCTTGAGATTTCTGGTCTACAAACATCTAAATGAGCAGTAATGTGCTCCCTGACGGCATCTTTTGGGTAAAGGAACAAATGTGATCCAAGGATTAACTGGTCCCTGATTTTGCAACATTAATTCATAGGGTCAGAATAAAATAATCAACCCACATATTTTTAAAACTTTTAAGTTTTAGAGATGAATTTCTTCTTCCTTAAAGTTTTAAATTATGAGGTAGATATCATTCAAAGTAAACATCAAATGCAGCAAACTTCTGTTGACGAACATGATTATTAATCCCATAATCAATAGACATTTCCATTAGGAAACTGAAAGTTTAAAAAGTAATGTTGATCAGCAGTATTCTGGCTTAAGTTTCCATATTCCTTCACCACTAGAAGTTCTATGAAAAGTGCAAAGATTTCGCAACAGTTCTCGAAAGACACAAGACTGTGAGGCTGATAACTTGGATTCGAACGCCTGCAGTATCTCGCGAGTGCTGGCCTGGCCATCAACACGGGCCTGAAAAGCAATGAAGTTTCTCATTTCCACCAGTAGGTCATCATGCTCAGTGGTGGAGGAGGGTGGAACAGATGCCTCTTGGTGCGCATTTTCACTTTCCAGCCGCTCTGGCAGAATCAGGTGGTTCCTAGCTCTCATTTTAGCCAACAGTAAAGACGAAGAGAGGGACCCGGGTGAAGACTCTGCATCTTCCACTTTTCCACTGAAGTGCTCAGAAGCATTATCCTTTCCATCCTTTCTTGTGACACCATCCTGGAGAAAGAAGACCACTGCAGTGACACGTCAGCTTCTAGTTCATGCTCCCATCACTTCCCCCAAAGCCCTGAGGAGCCATAAACGAACACTTGAGCCTAAGGCAGTGAGGCGGACAGGGAAGAACGAGACCGCCGAAGAAAAGGGAGGGGGCAAGTCAAGCACTGAAACCCACCCACCACTAAAGAACATTTCTGAAAACACCCAAATCCCCCAAACTGCACTCTTCACTTCATCACCATTCTATGTGTGTATGCGGGGGGGGGGGGGGGGGGGGGGGCCTGTTCGTGGGTTGGGGGGGGGGGGGGGGGGGGGGGGGGGGGGGGGCGGGCAACAAGCCTCCCTTTGGCGGGAGAGCGGGTTCCAGGAGGCGCGGATTCCGCAGGCTTCTCCCGTTCTTCCTCCCAAATCCACCCCGATCTAGGCACTGCGGGACAAGGAACAACTGCAGAACTGTGCTTCCTTCTCTTCACTTTTAAATCTTTTGACTCTTCCCACTTTACGCCTCATGTGAGTTGCCCTAGAACAACAACACAAATCTAACTTTTTTTCAACATCTCTACTGCTAAAAGAACATAACATGGGAAGTCAAAAAAGGTTATTAAAAAATAGGAATCTGAACTTGGGAGTCTTCAACTTTTATCAGCAACATAACCCTTGACCAGAAAAGACCCAAGAGAGAGCACTGCATAACAGAGTTTGGTCTGATCTTTTACTCAGTGAAGCACTCAAGGCGCCCAGGGGGTCCCAGGACAGGGAGAGACGGGCACAAGGCTCCAGCAGCTAGTAAATTACACACAACATTTGAGGGGGTTTTCTCAACCTTCATTTTAGAGGGTAGTGCTCTCTGAAGCTGGTACTTCACCTCTGGATGGAGCAGGCTGCATGGGCAGCAACTCACATCACCTATCCCCTGTGTTCACTTTCTTGGGGCAAAACAGAGATTCTGCTACAGATTTGAGTTTAAGACTCTTTTACAAAGTTGGCTGGTCCTTTTAGCTTCAAATGAAAATGCTTCATTAATCAGAGCCTACAAAACAAATACCAGGTGTCATTATGCCAGTGTTTTTCCTCCCATCTGAATCAGGTTAAATTTTCATGGCAATTCAATCACGCAAGTCTCAGACATGAAAAGCAGCTAGGCTATCATATTACCTGGCATTTCTCCTTTGAAGATGTTGAAGAAGGATGCTGCACAGAGAAGCTGGAATTCCTTTTCTGACCAAATCTACTCCTAAGTAAGGAAAAGAATCACAGTAGATAGAATGTTTGCTTTTGTGACTTAAGAGATGAAAATGCCCTTTCAACAACTTAATCTTTTCCTGGAAAAGTTTTCTTCTGCAAGGTTATTCTTTGATAGCCATGATGCTCATCCCCTTCAATTTTTCTACTTTACTCTCCTAGGAAGTAACTGATGCATCTCAAGTAAGAACCACTCAGTATCTTGTTCAACATATGATGGAAACTATCCTCAAATTCCAGGTAGGAAGATTATTCTAAACCAGTATACCAAATAGCACAGTCATTACTGATTGCGGAACACCAGCTAATCATCTCATTAAAGTGTAATCACTATTCTGTGTCTCTTATTTTTAACATCAACTCTTAAACAAAACAGATCACGTCTCCTTCCCCTGAAAACTCAGCTTCGGAAAGCAGGGGACAATGTAAAGGAAGGAGGTCAGATTCTATGTCTTTCCCCAAGTCCTGCAAATCTGGCCGACCCAATCCCTCCCTGAGAGATTTTCTACCACACCTGCCCTGGCTCTATTCCTAGCCTAGACGGTATGGCCTCCTCCCATGCAGGGCAAAGCAGTATAATCTCTTACTTTGTTCCTGCTGGTGTGCCAGAAACCCCCCGGTGGCCCGTCCAGGTGGGAACACCAGACGCCGCTCCCAGACACTGCTGGCGGGAGAGCCTCAGCGCTTTCAGGGCATCCTGGGCCACCCGGTTGGCCTCTGCCTCCACCAGCACATAATCCGGATTGGCTCCATCCATGATGGCATCGTGTTTCATGACACTGTGCACACCGACTAGCAAGAACAAAGGAAACCATGACATATTGTTTCAGTTTGTACACAATCACATTTTTCTTCTGTATAGTCTAGTATGTTGTGGGTAGAGAAAAAATAATGAACACTTTCAGCTATTTACCAAGGTGACTATCATGACCCAGGAACTTTACAAATGCCGTTGCCACTCACCTTCATCATTACCCTACAAGGTAGGGACTATTCACTACCCGTTTTATAATAATTGAAGCATAATGCCTCTGTCACCACAACTTCAACATCCCTGCTATCCAGAAAATTTTAAAACCTCTTATTAATCAATTCTTTATTGAAGGGAAAAATATAAAAATATAAACCAGAATTATAGAATTTTTAAAAAGTAATGATCATGAAAATGAATTTAATGCAGGTATGAGTGGAAAATTCACAGCCTTAAATATTTATATATCCATAGAAATGAAAGAATAAAAACAAATGAATTAAACTTCCAAGTCAAAGAGTCTTATAAAAATTAAGCCAAAAAAACTCACTGAAACACAACAACAAAAGCACAAAGAAGAAAGTAATAAAGATAAAAGCAAAAACTAATGAGGTAGAGAACAACCATAGATCTAATTAATAAATTAAAATGCTGGTTTATGTTTTTAAGAAAAATCACAAAATAAACCACTAGCTTAACCTGACCACAAAAGGGGTGGAGGAAATACACAAAATTAGAAATGACCAGGGAGAAATTATCTTGAAACAGAAACAAATTTTTAAAAAACTGTTACAAGAAGATTTTCAATGCCTCTGTGCAAATAAAACTTGAAAACTAGACAAAAGAGATCATTTCCTAGGAAAAGACCAGGAACTATAGAAAAAAGAGTTACCAATAAACTACCTTACAAAAAAGTATCAGGCCCAGATGGTCTCTTTCTGAAATGCCGTACAGAAACCTGGCCTTCCCACACCGAGAACCACGAACAGTGATGTCTGGTAACTCGGGGCCATCATACTGTGAACCCAGTGAGTGCCAAGGCCTGAACAAGACAACACCCCCAAGGATGACAAAGCTATGTAGGACTGCCTGTCCTCCCCGGTTCTGAGCAACTGTTGAGTCTGCTTTCCTGAGTCTTCTCCCTTGATGTGAGCGAGCTAGCTTTCCTACTTCCAGAGTGTCTGCCCTGGCCTGCCCCTGCCTCTCCCCCATGGCTGTTACTTTAATCTCCTGTGGTTGGAAAATCAGGTAAATACACCACGTACAAAAACTTCCTATCACCCGTTCAGTAGTACAAACCTACTTAAAGCATTGCACCCCTCCTGTGTGTGGCTGTAAGTCAAGGACTGTTGTTCTCCAGAGTTTCAAATTCCTCTAGGTCTTCAGAAAAGAGAGGTGAATACGATTTTCAAAATGTCGATACATTTCAAATCTGAATTTTAGAGAAGAAAAGATACTTCCAGTTGAGAGCCCACTCTGCCCTGTGAGTCAAGGCTGCCACTGCTAGAAACAGCCTACTCCGCTTCTGTTCCTAGCACACCTGCAGCAAATTTAGCAAAAAGATTACCTGACTTTTTGAAAAGCTTTTCCAAGACATAATCATCATGGCTCTGTTCACTGGTCTCACTCTCGTTTTCACTGTCCTGCTTCTGGTACCGCCTTTTCTTCACGAGGTGTGGAATTCGAGTTCCTTCAAACTTGGCATCTCTGCGATGCTTAGGGCTCTTCAGCTTCTGTGTTGGTGTCCGATGCTGCTCCAGGGGCTCTTCTTCCAGTGCACTATGTTTCGTTTTTGACTTGTGCTTAGAAAAATTACTTTCCGATGGCTTATTCTCCCAAAGAGGCTCTGTCTGAGCCTGGCAGCTTTCTCTTCTGTCGGAAAGACCCTGCTTTTCATTGATGTTTTCCTCACTAGACAGCCCGTCCATTTTACTGATTCTCAGAGAATCTGAACAATCCCCATGTCCACTAATCACGGATGATTCCTCTAGCCTAGACACTGTGTTCATGTCTTCTCTAGGCCCATCACTGCCAGGTGGAGTTCTAGGGATTTGGGGGGCATCTTTCAAAGGATTGCATGGATCAGAAGTTACTGCATTCACTTCAGCTCCTATAGCTGTAGATTTCTCTTTAGATGATGTGGCCTCGTTTGTGGATACATTAGAATCAGGAAACTTTTTGCATATTGGAACATTATGGTCTGCTCCAAAGGCCGGCGGAAGTTTTCTTTTTAAATGGAGCTTGGGAGCCTGAACTTCTGAGCCAGTTCCTGCAAAGGGGAAAAACACGCTCAAGTTACATGACATAATTCTTCTGTACTTTATTATTTTAAGTGAACATATTTTATGTAATACCTGCAAAAATAGCACTTGTTTCAGTACTCTGGGATGCGTCAGGACTCGTCAGAGTGAACAGCTCATAAAGATCATTGGACTTGAAAAATCGCCTTTGCTTCGGATCTTTCAGCACTCTGTTTGTCAGAAACTGTTTGAAAATTTGTCTAAAAAGATAAAAGTTGAACTGGTATAAAACAATGTTTAGCTGCACCTCAAAATCCTAGTTATAAAACAATATGAGAGATACGATAACTGTAGCTGAACAAATGTCTAAATCATCCCCAAGCTTTTCTCCTTGGAAAATTACAATTCAGAAAGTACATAAAAGGGCGCCTGGGTGGCTCAGTTGGTTAAGCGACTGCCTTCGGCTCAGGTCATGATCCTGGAGTCCC